CTGTGAGTGTCCAGTTTTTTTTTTTTTTGAATGAATCATTTCAAGATACGGACATCATTACTTAGGATAACAGGTACCAAGTATTGATGGCTCGGTGTGAAAACCTGTATGTCACGGATATTTTGTTCGTTCTTAACTTTTCTACTCGCCTGTTATGTCCTCTGAGATGTCTCGATCTAGTGGAAAGAAAAAGAGAGAATAAGTTAGGTTCAAAATCATTTCTCAGTATTCTGTACATCAAAATTAGATCTCCCCTTAGTAATATGTAAATATCTATATCACTACCCTAACTTGATAGCAATTACTGCTAAGAATTCAGTCAATGTTGATATAAATGTAAGCCTAATCTCAATATATTTCCATCATATTGCTGAAATCACATGTAAGAATTCCGATGAAGACAGTCAGTGCAAAACAAAAAGATTAAAGTGAATATCTATTACAAAAAATTGGGAGGATTGTATAGACTGATAATGTAAAGCTATTCTTTTTAACTGAGCCAGTCAAAATCACTATAGCGATTTTCACTTTTCCAAACACCAATTTAAAGGTAATATTAGAAACTATTCACCATATGAAGAGCATTGTAAAAAGTATCTTTATTCAATGCTTAGAATTAATTAGAAGGAATCTTTTGAATGGGCTGTGTCAGTCAATTAGTCAGTCAGTCAGTTACAACGTAGGACCAGGCACATACATGCATTGGTCCAAGTTGACATACCTCATTAGCACAGCAAGACGAACATCAGATTCATAGAAGTAGTTGACTCAATGATGGTAGTATATAAAGGAAGGATTTCATATAAGGATATAGTACAGGAAGAAAGAATTAGTTCGTAAAAAGAAAGGTATGGGTTATGTTATCTGAGCTGAATAGTTTAGTTACGAAACTTTCATTTTCTTTCTAGATAACATTATTAGAACATAGTTCACATAATTCTCTTTGAAGTCTTATACACCTGAGAAAACGTAACATTTTCAAAATCTTCATCCTTAGCTGTAAATATTCTCCATCATATAACAGATCTATTTCAATATCATGTAGTTTACCAGGAAAAAAGTATTACCCTGAAGGCTTATTGACTTTACAGCTTTTATCTTAAACACAGTTCAAAAAGTTTTCAACTAATTCATTTTATTACTTATCTATTAAATAATGAGCAATCTTGTGTTGTACAAAAACTGGAAAAGATCACCAATTCTTTCTTTCTGTTCTATATCCTTACATAAAATCTACCCTTTATATATTACACCATTGAGTTAACTACTTCTATGAATCAGGTGTTCATCTTGTTGTGCTAATGAGGTTTGGCAACTTGGACCGATGCATGTATGTGCCCGGTCCTACGTTGTAACTGACTGACTGACTGACTGATTGAACACCAATCACTATGCATATTATGGAAACTAAACTAAATTATGTATAAGAGAATTTATGATTTGATAAAGCACTCAAATGTAAACGGATCTATACTGTGGAATAAATGAGTCCTTATGGATAAAACAATCTGCTTTAAGATAAAGGAAACTGATTATAATCCTTAAAAAACCACCCACCCTATTCACATTTATACAAATACCAACTGCTGTCAATTAGTGAAAACTAAAGATCACTATAGAGTTGTTTAAACCTAGTTATAGAATTCTTGACAGTAAACACTTACGATCCCTTCAGATGTCCAGTTTAGTATATTATCCATAAACTACTGAATATACACTCTTGCATTCAGTCATTCGGTAATATCGCTTGACCACCGTCTAATGGTGATATCTGTTTCATTATTAATACATTTGAACTCCATAGAAATATAGACCATTACTTTAAAATTTAAGGATCGAAATATAACGGACTCATCCAAAGGCCTAAATGTCTCAGGTTCTGTTACTGACTGGTTTATGATATATATGTTTCGTTAAAACCAATGTCTTCAAACTGAAAAAAAAACAAGAAATATCATATCTTAATATGTTAACTTTTTCGCTAGAGAAAGACATGGTCACCTAATATAAGTCACACTGTATAACCGATAAACAATATTCTTAAATGGTTTGACATACTTAACATATTTACTAAAGATAATCACTAGACTCTATTGATCTAATGTGTATATATATCTATTGGTTAATTACATCCAAACCATAGATCTCCATTACGAATACTCATCTCCTATAGTTAAATTGATCACTATCCTTTTATTCTGTAGGCTTTTATTTGTTTAAAAAGTATGCTAGAAAAAGACAACAAATAAATTGTCATCTGTATGTATCATTTATGCCATATCTTCCTCCTTCATACCATTCATACTAAACACATCATAAAAAAAATAAAGAACTGATATCTTTCCTTATATCCAACTGATACGTTGTAAATATTTAGTTTGGAAGACAATTTTTACAGTAAAGTGATCTATATAGATTGAAATGCTATTACTGGATAAATAAGAAGGTGTATACACTCTCTATCTTCCCTTAAACTATGAGATTAAAATCGCTTTATATCTGTCTTTCTACGAACTAATTCTTTCTTCCTGTACTATCTCCTTATATGCAATCTTTCTTCCATATATTACCACCACTGAATTAACTACTTCTATGAATCCGGTGTTCATCTTATCGTGCTAATGAGGTATGGTAACTTGTGAACCGATGCATATATATGCCTGATCCTACGTTGTAGCTAACTGACTGGATTAATATCTCATTAAGGTCGCATATTTAGATACTAAATTGAATGTAAACCTTTAATCATTGTCTTCCATCCTAGAATTTGTAATAACATCTGTTTTTTTTTTATTCGAATTCCACCGGTTCTTAATATAAGAAAATAATCATCCTATGTTATCAATGGTAACTAATTCGCTATGATTTGATTTACTCCATAGATAAACACAATTGCTAGCTGAAATATGAAGATATTTATCTTAATGCAAATGAATATTGGTCTCTGGATTTTAATGCAAATACTACTTAGAAAATATTTTAATTAAGCAATATGGTTAAAAATTCAGGCTGAAGTTATCCACAAAGTTTTCATTGTTCAATAAATGTATTGTATCCAATACTTTTAGACGATATTTCTAATCATTTATTAAGGGAGTTGTGTAGAAGGTAGTGTGATTTTCACTAAATCTTTCATTTAAAGGATCTGGAGTTATTCACTACTGTCTACTATGATCATGACATTATAGAGTAATCTACTAGGTTGAATTTTTCTGCTTAGCATTGTTTTAAATAGTTTTGTACGGGATCGGGTTGTAGTAATCCCATTTCACTACTGTATTATTTATTTGATCATTGTAATTTAGACACTTGATTCACTATGTAATTTTCTGTGTGAGTCTGATTGAGCACATGTCAATGTTTAATCTATTCTTCCATTGATTGTAATACACAGACAATCAATAATTTATCCAGACTTGATTAACACTCATATATACATGTAAATGGATTTTTGAACACTCATTCATTCATTCACACATTCACTCACTCACACGCACACACACTTGTGTTTTCCCTACGCGCTTGCTTACTGTATGCTTGCGGATTCTACCAAGCTTTAACAATAAACTATCTCTATTACTGATGTTTGGGCTTTTGAATAATCTCGAGTAAATCAACAATTCTACAAGGAGATTTAGCCTGCATTAAATACACAGTTAACGACATACAATATATTGGAGTTAGATTAAGAGGAACTTTGCCTCAACAAACTTGGTGAGCCATTACAAGGTCTCTAACTCCATGCCCAACCGTCCTACCTTATCCAGGCTTGGAACCGGCAGTAGCCATAGAGGGGCTCCAGGAAGAGTGAAGATGCGGATCGACAAAGCAAGAGCAGCTTATTTACAAATGAAGAATATTTGGAACTCAAAACAACTGTTAACCAACACCAATGTTAGAGTTTTTAATACAAATACCAACACAGTTTACTGTATGGAGCGGAAGCCTTGAGAACTGCGAAAGCCATCATCCAGAATATACAAGTGTTTATTAAAAGTTGTCTACACAAAATACCTCTGATCCGTTGGTCAAACACTATCAGTAAAAACCTACTATGGGAGAGAACAAGCCAGACCCCAGAGGGAGGAAGAAATCAGAAAGAAGTGTTGGAAGTGGATAGGACACATATTGAGGAAAGCACCCAATTGCGCCACAAGACAAGCCGTCATATGGAATCCTCAAGGCCAAAGGAGAAGTGGAAGACCAAAGAACACAATACGTCGAGAAATGGAGACAGATATGAGAAGAATGAATAACAATTGGATAGAACTAGAAAGGAAGGTTCAGGACAGAGTTGGTTGGAGAATGCTGGTCGGTGGCCTATTCTCCGTTAGGAGTAACAGACGTAAGTAAGTAACTAGGTTGGATGAAAATTACAAGTATGATAAATGAAATCTTTAATGAGAAGATTACACTTTGATAATCAGCATTCACGCATTAAATAAATAGAAAATATATGTTAGTACTAAATTCGATATATGCATTGAACGTAGAAAACCTTGTTACATAGCCTCAACCTACATATATAATAAACGGGTGAGTCAAAATTTCCACTTCTGTATATAATATTTTGTATTTGATTATTATAATTATTATTATTGATTCATTGTCTTGGTCACATTTATTAGTCACTAGCATATATAGATATATGTAGGTATCCATAAGTGGGGTGAGAAGATAATATTTGCCCTATAATTCAAGGCTATGGATAGATTAACATTTTGTGCCCATATTATATAGTTGAACCAGTTAGGTTTAAGTTATTTGTAAACCATAGAATTTATTATGCTTCTTTTTACAAAAAAGAAACAAAACAGTCTGGTTAAGGTCAATAGATAGATAATGGTCTAAATGCTACTACCATTAGTGATACGACGATTATTGACAGAGAATCAGACAAAGATATTATAGAAATAATAAAAAAAAGATATATTCTATATTCTTCTGTATCTTTGTTTAAATCAACAAAATTTTGTTTATTTTTTTCTTTTTGTGTGTAGCCCGAATTCAACCCCTACAAATATTTATTTGTTTGTTTTTTCTCTCTCATTCATCTCTAACCTCATTTTGATTGATCAAAAGGAAGTAAGGAGATCAAAAGAGAAAGAGAAAGAATGAGAGTGAAAGAGAGGGGGGAAAGGTTAATGAAATTTCATGTATATTTATTTACTTATTTATCATTTAGGAAGATCTTTTCTTGTTAAAAATGACAAAGAAAAGAAAAAAACCGATTGATTATGTAACAGTTAAATAAATTTATTTATTTCTCTATCCATTTATGTATTGGTCAAATGTTTCTTCTATTTTGTATTTATGTAAATGTATGTATGTTTATTTTTATGATTATGATGATCTGAAACATACATTGATCTTACTTAACTAATACAATGATTGAATTGTACAGGTTAGTCTCATATGTCATCTAACAATGAAGCAAATATAGACAATATGCTGAATATATTGTTTACATAACTAGTTGAATGATTAGGACTGACAATAAAAGTTGAATAAAAAAAAAAAATTAATATCAGAAGGGATTTTTGTGGATATTATAGTAATTCCAGGTTTTCATTGATGATCTAGCATCAATTGACTTATAATCTCAACTACTGAAAAAATGATTTCAATCATTGAAATTACTATAATCTCTACAAAAATCCTTCTGATATGAATCAACATATGCTCATTAGTGACTGGCTTCAAGAGGTATTTCCTGGAGTTCTAGTGAGAAGCAGTGACCAGTAGAGTTCAATCGGGTCTGTTGTGAGTTAGTAACTCACTGAATACAATAGTGAATGTGTCACTCAATTTCGTAGATCAGTTGAAGTTAAACATTAACATCGTTGGATACCGACCAACTCAATAATCTAGTGGTTAAGCATTCACGTGCAACACTAATAGGTCCTGGTTTCGTAACTCATGAGACGGAATCATCGATGCACACTGCTTAGTAGTGTCACAATAGGACGAAATGATCATCCAATGCTTTCAGATTGTCCATAGTGATCTAGCTTCAATTGACTCATGGTCTCAACTATTGAAATTACTTTAATATCCACAAAAACCCATCTGATATGTAAAAAGAATAGTTGAATAGTATTGAATGATCTAAATACCTAGCTATTAAATTATCTAACTGTGATAATGTACAATATAGCTTCTATTCTCTTTGAATATTTGAGATATAATATCATAATGAGTGTTTTAATTAGGATAAAACCTGAATTCTAAGATTTCAAATCAAATTATCTCTAAGATATTTAAACTACACAAAATCCACTCACATATTAAGCCATTTGATCGATAAGGTTAAAAGTAAACAATCAGATCTAGGTAACAACTTTGATTAATTATAAATGATCGATTAGTATAACTTTAAAAGTATATTGTTGTTGTTGTTGGAATTTCTTAGAATAATTAAAAGTAATTTACACCATTAATTTATTGGAACAAATATAAAATTGAAAACGACTCTAAAATACTGATGTTCCATACTACTCTGTAATAAATAATGTTTGAGAAGTTGCTGATCTACTTTTTGTCAGACGGTGTAAAATCAAGAATCGATTATGATGATTTATGAGACAGTGTATTTCTTACAACTAGCAAAAACGTGGCAACTCCACCTGGATCACCTCTAGGGCTATTGCCGTTGCCAAGCCCGGGTAAAGGAGGAGGGTTGAGCATCGGGTTAGTGACTCCATCCCGTAAAAACCTAACTCGCCAAAAAAATGCAAACTAGAAAAAAACAATTCAAACTATTTAAACTTTGCCCTGAGAGTCAGAATGTCTTCATTTACAAGACTTGTGACATCTCATGATGAAAGCCTAGTTCCTTTGGAAGTCACGAGTCTGATGCACTTTCTGATAACCAGAGCAACAAATGGAGAATGTTGGTCGGTGGTCTATGCTCCATTTAGGGTAACAGGCGTAAGTAAGTAAGCAAACCGGGGCGAGGACTATCAAAAAATAAATTTGAATAACTTTTTTTCATATTATATGAGCATACGTCAAGATTTCAATTAGTAATTTGATAGAATTCAGTCTCCCATTACATAAAGGACATGGTGTCTAAGAATTATATTCAAAATAATCTTGCTGAGTGGAATTTGAATAGTTCTATGAATTCTAATCTTTGAAATGATTTGAAATATAATTCTTACTAGTAATTCCTCATGTTATTTTTCTTTTTTATTACAAAATTACAATTTCCAAAACTACGACAACAAATACACTACCAACCAAAAACTTACCAAATTCCCCAACCCCATGCTGATAATAATCATCATTTTCACACTAGTGACTGGCTCAAAGATGATTTCCTGACGTCCTAGTGAGAAGCCATGACCAGTGGAGTCTAATCCGTGTTGGGTAGAAACAGGTATCTATCTCAGACAATGGATGAATTGTTGAGCAATCATTCATGGATCGATGAAAGTTAGACAGTGACACCGTTTGATGCCGACTCAGTGGTTTAATGTACAGAGCGAAAATCTCATTTTTTTCTGTAATCTAATAGTTGAATTCATGAGTCGATTAAAGCTAGATCACCATGGAAAACCTGAAAGCACTGGACAAAAATTTCATCCTATATCGGGGCTCCTCGGCACTGTGCATCCATGATCTCAATCAGAAACTTAACAATCTTCACAACCCCTAAGCTGATAATTACCATGTACTTGAGAAAATTCTCGAAGTTCTAGTGAGAAGCCGTGACCAGTGGAGTTAATCTGTGTCGGTTAGAGACAATTATCTACTTCAGTACAATGAAGATGGCCGCGCAACTTCATGGATTGGTTGGGGTTAGACGTTTACACCATTGGATGCCGGCTCAGTGGTTCAGTAGGTTAAGCTTTCGCTTGCGAGACTGAAGGCCCTGGGTTCGAATCCCGCGAGCGGGATCGTGGATGCGCACTGCTGAGGAGTCCCACAATAGGATGAAACGGCCGTTCAGTGCTTCCAGGTTTTCAATGGTGGTCTAACATCAGTCGGTTCATGATCTCAATCAAAAATGTCGAGTCCTTGAATCTTATCTCTAACTAGTAAATTGAAACCAGCTAGCTTGAAATATCTTCAGTGCTATTTTCAGAGAATAAGTAAACTAACAAAACTTATCTTAATTCTACAAGATAAATTCTGCATAAATTTAATTAATACAACCATCTTACAAAAATAAGATGTTTACCAAGTGAGTTCCAGGGATCTAGTATCCTCAACACTTCGTGATCATAAGTAAGAAATATCTATAAACTAAAAACCTTTCCTTTTAAATCTAAACCAAAAGATATTTATAAGCAAAGATGGATAGTGGCTAGCAGTGGAATCCATTTATGACGCGCGTTTCGTCCCATTCGAGACTCTTCAGCTGGATGTACTAGCAACACACAGTTGATGTTCACTCTGGAACTCGAACCCAGTACCATTAATAATGACAAAAATGGATCAATTTTTATCGTGTATTCCATTAAAACACCAATTAAATATATCAATTTAAGCATAAAAATAAATGCCATCTAACTGATAGACATGAACAATTAAAAAATCTACATGATTTTATTCATAGATAAAGAGAAAATAAAATAAATATTAAGTAAACAAATCAATAAGTAATATTCTGAAAATAATTACATAATCCATATCAGTTTACAAGCAAGATCAGTTTGATACAGAAAGCAATGTTACAACATAAAGAACAGAGGTATACGGCTAGATTGTCTAGAAAAAGATTTTAATGGTTGGATTCATGAGTGATCTAAGCTAGACCACCATTGAAAATCTGAAAGTAATAGACAGTCATCTCTTCCTAGTATGGGACCACACAGCAATTTACATTTGCAATCCCACAAACGGGATGCCAACCTAAGACCGTCAGTCTTGCGCACGAACGCTTAACCTCTAAATCACTGAGCTGGCATCCACTAGTGAGCACATGACGATTATTAGCATAAATGTGTGGAGATTTTTGAGCTCTAATTGACATCATAAATCGATCAATGTTAGACCATTATTGAAAATTTGGAAGTACTGGTGACTAGCTTCGAGTGGTATTTATCGAACTTATTGTCAGAAGCCATGATCAGGGGAGTTCAATCGTGTCGAGGTTGAGGCAATCATACATCGAAGACAATGAAAGATACTCGCACAATATCGTGGATTGCTTGAAGTTAGACAATAAGTTCATTGAAATCCGACTCAGTGGTTTGGAGGTTAAGCGTTCGTACACGAGACCGACGGTCCTGGGTTGGTATCTCGTGTACTGGATTGTGTATGTGCACTGCTGAGAGTTCCCATACTGGAGATAGACGACAGTGTATTGCATCCAGGTTTTCAATGATATTCTAACATTGATTGGTTCATGATCTCAATTAAAACTCAACAACCTCCACAAACCCTCACTCTGAAAACATATTCTTCATAAATTGTTTTGAATGGACATTTGTCCCATGGATTATAATAATGCGAGACAGTACTTAGAAACCAATAATTTTTAATAGGAGGATTAATGAAATCCTTTGGAAGTATTAATATTGCATCGATAGATAATTCTAATACTGTTAAAGGTTGGTTATAATCATCTATAACCATTGAAAATGAAACAAAAACATTAAAAATTAATATGATAGGTCAGTAACTAAAAATGCGCTACATAGTTCTGTGAACTACTGATTTGCATACATATTACTTAAACTAATTAAGTTAATCAGGGTTAGTGTAAGTGTGAATTATATACTAGAAGGAAGTTTAATAAGTAGTCTCAGTGATAACAATGATCAAACGTTTAATGTCTTCCATAATTTCACTAATGGGATAGGATATTTTCACATGTATATGCATTTTTACTACAATATCAGAAGAAAGGCAATCATCTATGTAGTTACAAAGGGTAGTGATTTTGTTTGGCGGATAGATTCCGGTAAACTATTTCAGAGTTTTGCTACTTTACTTACAAAGTAATTCATGTGGTGAGAAGATAAGTAGTTAGAGACATTTGGCAAGAATCCCTACTCCATGTAGGTTTTATGGTAGTTGACAGTCGTCTGTATGTCATAAGCGTACTTTTGAAAAGACTACAATTTCTCAAGGGATAATGAATCAGAACATCGATTCACAACGGTTGATAGCCATAAACTGGTTTTTAGCTTTTCCATATTTTAATAGTTGAATTCATGAATCAATTGAAGCTAGACCACCATGAAAGACCTGGAAGCACTGGACGCCCGTTTCGTCTTGGTATGGGACTCCTCAACCCCGCGAGACTCAATTTAATATATACCAGAAGGTTTTTAAAACAATGCAAACGATAAACTACATGTAGATAGATTATTCTAACCCATCATGTATAAATATCTACCAGAAATGATGGAAAAGGCAAACAACTTACGTGAATGATTTTACTGACATTGTGTTCTTTACGTTAAATGGTTTAAATGAAAAGCTTTAGATGTCCTTTTGATAGCATTATCGGCACCTATCTCATATAAGCCCAGTAAACAGTTACTTACGCCTGTCACTCCCTATGAAGAATAGGCCACCGACCAGCATTCTCCAACCAACTCTGTCCTGAACCTTCCTTTCTAGTTCTATCCAATTGTTATTCATTCTTCTCATATCTGTCTCCATTTCTCGACGTATTGTGTTCTTTGGTCTTCTACTTCTCCTTTGGTCTTAAGGATTCCTTATGA